TAGAAAGCTTAAAGAAGAATAGATTAGGTAGTAGAGTAGAAGTATTAGATAGTATAACCTTCTTACTATTAGTTAAAAAGATAGTAGTACTACTATAGTTAGCTTAATTACTACTACTAAACTTAGAAGTAGAAGAAGTTAGCGCTAGTTAATTATTATAAGTACTTTAACTCTAGGTAGCAGCAGTAAGCTAATAATTTAACTTAACTAATCTAGAAACTTAAGAATTAGTATTAGAAAGCTACTAAGACTACTAAGAAGTTTAAGAAGAAAAGTAAATTAGACCTTACTTAGTCTCTCTAAAGGTAAAACGCTTTAATTAATCTTTATAAAGCTTTGCTATAGTATTAGTCTTAATAGACTTAACTATAGTAAGTTAAGAAACGTTCTTTAGACGCGCCTTTTAATTAGCTTTATTCTTTATAAAGCGCTCTCTTTATTTAATATAAAGCTTCTTTAAGTATGCTAATTTATTAGCTTTAGCTTTCTTAATCTTCTTAAGACTAGATTAAGTCTTAGCAGTATACTTATTAAGCTCTCTTATCTAAGCTTCTAATCTTAATAACTTAAGATTAGCTTTACTATTACTAATTATTATTACTAGATTAGAGCTATTTAGATTAATAGTACTCTATCTAGTATTGCCTATAATAATAGGCAGAGTATTAAATAAGTATTTCTACTTAAACTAAGATAGAAGCTTATGCTGCGCTTCTATAGAAAGAGCATTTTAAATATTAGTAGTATCTAGAATCTGCTTAGTAAGTAACTTAGAAAGCTTAGAGATTAAAATAATTAGCTTAGTGCTATAAAGGCTGCTATTTAATCTACTTAAGCTTACTGCTTTATAAGAAAAAGAAGAATTTAATCTATAAAGGTTAGTTAGAGTAGCCTTATTTTTCCTCTTCTCTCTAGGCATTTTTTTAGGTATAGAAGAAGTAGAATAAATAGACTTATATAAGCTACTTAAAGAGAGACTTAACTCTAGATTAGTAGAATACTAAATAGAGCTACTAGATGCAGCTTAAGCTAGTTAGAAAGAAGTAGCATAACTAGAATAAATTAATTTCTTATTTATGCTAAGAGAGATATTAATATAATCTATTTAGTTATTAAAAGTAACTAGAGTATTAAGATTAAAGCTAGCTAAGGTTAAAGCGCTCTTATTATTAAATAGCTTATTAAGTATATTAGTTTTATAACTAAAAGGCTTAGCTTACTTACTATACTTAGATTCTAGAGAACTAGAACTTAGGCTAGAAAGATTACTAGCAGGTACTATAGTCTTATTCTTCTCTTTATTATCTTAAATAGAGGCCTAATAAGCAGATATCTTTAAAGAGGTTAAATTAGTTAAGAGTAACTTTCTATTAGAGCTTATTTTCTAACTAAAAGAATCTAAATAGAGTTATAAAGATATAAGTAGCGTAGCTTTCTTCGTACGCTTAGAAGTTAGATTAGATATAGTAGTTTTAGATTAGTTACGCTTAACGCTAGATAGCTTATTATAACTAGTAATATACTTATAGATCTTATCTATAAGCTTATTTTGCCTATTAGTATACTTAGAAGTCTATAAAAGATTAGTATAGAGCTGCTATATAAGATTAATAACTACTAATAGTTATAATAACTATATAGCCTATAGCGTAATTATATAAAGATATTATCTTAGTTATAAAGTAGTATAAGCTATAGTATAATTAGTATAAGAAGGTAACTAAAATAAGATAAGAAATAATACCTTAGAATACACTGCTTAGAATTATAAGCAGTATAATAACCTAACTTACTACTCTTATTAATATATTTAAGCTTATTCTTAGTTAAGTTACTTAGCTACTTAAGAATATAATTAGCATAAGAGCTTTTATAGAGTATACTACTAGAAAGCTTTAATAGAGTATCTAGAGCTAGATTATTCTCTTTAGAAGCTAACTTCTACTAATTAATTTAAGCTAAAGCGTATATACTTTTTAAATCTAATATCTTAGAGAAATAAGTAGCGTAAGCGTTCTTAAGATTCTTCTTCTATACTAGAGTAGCTATTTTTCTCTTTTACTGCAAAATAGCTAAGTTAGCATAACTAATAGCCTAGAGTTTAAGATAATTATAATATAGAGTACGCGTAAGATACTTAAGTACCTCTTAATTAGTAAAACTTACTAGAGCTATAGTTAGCAGATTAAATTCTTAAAGCTAGATAGTAGAGTATTAAAAGATTATAAGGCATAGAGTAAGATATTAATATTACGCGTGCTAAGGCTAAATGCATAAGTTAACTAATCTCTATAATAATATAATAATAAATAGATACTTACTAATTAAGTAATTAGAGCAGAGTAGAAGTAAGATAATAGCTTATTTATATATATACTGCGTAATATTATCTTAATTAAATAGAGTAATTAAGATAGAGAGTATATTGTAGTATTAATATATAAGAATAGTAAAGTACTAATCTATATAACTAAGCTAACTAAGCTTAGAAAGTAGACTAACGTTTCTCTATAATCTATTTGTATATTTAAGCTAGCTCTTCTAATATATTAGAAGAGTAGTAATTAATATAATCTTTTCTCTTAAGTTTGCTTAGCAACAACACCTTAGTATTTATAGTAGCAGATAACTAACTACTATAATATCTTAAATAGAACTTAGAGTAGCTATAGCAGCAGCTAGAGTAGTATAGGCTAATTAGTAGAGACTTTATAACTAAGTACGTTAGGAAAACTATTTTTTAGTATTTTGATAGTATCTATAGCAGCCTAAATTAAGAGATTAAGCAAAAATTAATTTTAAACGCAAATATTAATAAGCATCTAAGTAGTATTTGCAGTACTACTACTATAATACTATAGTATATAATATGCTAGATACTAACTAATTAGTATACTGCAATTATTTTACACTTAAAATAATTTATTAAAATATAGTATAGCTAGTGCAACGTAGAGTGCAAAATGCGTGCAAATATCTATTTTTTAGAAGTTTTAATATTGTTAAGATATAGGCTGCGCCTATACTTAGAAACCTTTCTATTAGCGCCTTAAGCCTAATTAGTTAGTAAGAAGAATATATATAAGCAGTAAATAGAGACCTTCTTAATAAGAAATATAACTTTATTTAGTACTATATTATTCTATTTTTATAGGCTAGCTCTTTATAAATATTCGTACGTATTCTAATATTTCTAATATTTCTAATTATTCTAATACTTACTAAAATTGCTAGTAATTTTGCTCTATTTTGCTTAGAACGTTTAGAACTAATATTAGCAAAATCGCTTATAATTATAAGTTTATCTACGCTCTACTTGCATCTTCTCTGCATTACTATATAGCATCTATTTTTAAATTCTAGTTTTCTTAGAATGCTTACTATATATATTTTACTTAGTAGCTAGTATTCTAATTACTATAGTATTATAGTAGTAGTACTATACTATAAGCGTGTAGGAGCTTAATATTAGATTAATTTTCTTAAAATTAATTTTTGCCTAACCTCTTAATTTAGGCTGCTATAAGTATCGCTGTAATTCGCTGTTAATACAACTAATATAACTGTTGTAGCTAAGCAAACTTAAGAGAAAAGATTGTATTGATCACTGCTCTTCTAATGTATTAGAAGAGCTGGCTTAAATATACAAACAGATCACGGAGAAACGTTAGTCCACTTCCTAAGCTTAGTCAGCTTAGTTACGTGGATTAGTACTTCACTGTTCTCGTGTATCAATACTGCAACATATAACGATTTAATAAAGTTACTCTAGTCTCTTTTTTTTAATAGTTTTAATAGTAATTTAACGTCTAGTTGCTCTATCTAGCCTCTTAAGTTTTAATAAAAGTATAAAATAAGCTTAGGCTCTACTACCTATCTAAGGTGTAAGCTCTTATATCTTTTAGATTACTACGCTACTATTTCTTTATTAAATTAATAGATTTTTAGCTAGAATTTTTTGCGTAATCTCTAGTTATATATGCTAACTTATAGAGTCGTGCAAAGTACTAGTTAATAGTCTTATTTATCTTCTCTAGTAATAACTCTTTCTGTACGCAGTAAAACCTCTCTATCTCTTTAGTTTTGCTCGTATATAAGCATCTATAGAACTTCTTCTTAAGAGAACTTACTTAGGTCTCTATTATACTTATATTAGATAACTTTAAGTAGCTTTTAATATGCTTAAATAAGTAATTAGCTATCTATTTAAGGCTCTATTTTAATATATGCGTAGAGTTACAGTCTTGCTAAAGTATATACCTACTACTACGCTTATTAAAATCCGGCAAAGGACACATTATTCTGCTGCCGAATATCCCGAATGGAGTTGCTCCGTAGTGTATCCACATGATTTGGATGAGTGGCAAGAGCTACCTGAGCAATGCACGACGGTCTAGCCCTTTCGGAACAGCCGTTGAGACGCATGCAAAAGCGGCGGAAACGCGTCGCTCAGCTGCATGCCACCTTATCATGCGCTACCCGAGAATTCGAAAGATGTCGTGGAACTCAATGTTGCTTTAACCCAGCCAATGTTATCGGGGCCGGGTAGCTGAAGGCCGGTCGTAACAGCCCCCACAATCTAGGCAGCAATCTGACAAGGTTTACCGGTCAGCTCTGATGAGGATTTGACTCCGATTGGGGCAGACCCCATGATATCAACACGGCTGAAATGCATGTCATGGAGGTTTGGGGGCAATGACCCGGCTCTCCGACCCCCATTCGCTCAAGTAAGCTGTTGTCCTTCCAGCCTTGTGCGGCAGAACGAGCTTCATGTCCTCGTATTTGTTCATAATGCTATGTCTGAAGTAGCCTCGAAGAAAAGCCAGGACTAGATTTAAGAAGGCAATCTTACCGCTTCCCGATCGGGAACATGGGGCTGGAGGGAGAAGATTATGGTATATTTAGGGGATGGCGCGAGAGGACCAGCACCTACTCAAGGGCCATTGCATCGCTGTTGTAATGCAGGCCTTCTTTCATCTCTGCGGCAACTCTTCTACAATATGTCTACCAGCAATTTTGATCTCCAGGCGGAATGGCGCGAAGCATGTCTCGAATTTATACGTGCCACAGGCATAAACCTGGATGTCAAGTCGCCAACCGCAAGCCAGATTGCAGCAAAGCTGGATGAACTCAATGAAGCCAAGGACATAGAAAGCCAGTCGAAGATCGAAAAGGCCAAACGCGCAGTTGGCAATACTATGAGAGCCATCCAAACCATTGGGACTCTACTTGCTCAAGGCGCACAGATGTCGGGTTTTGGAGGACCAGCCAACGTAACCATGAACTGTGTTTCATTTTTCATCGAAGCTGGCTTTGCGTACCAGAAGATTGCTGCAGACATCGGTGTCCTCTTTGATGAAATCTGTCCGATTATGGAACGTGCTGAGCTTTACATCAAGGAGCGCAGGGTTTTGGGGCCAGAGATGGAACTTACGGCCCACAGAATGCTGATAGCGGTCGTCAAAACTTGTCAGTACTGTATCGGAGTTCTTGGGCGGGAGAAGGGTTCCAAACGAGCGAAAGCGAAACAGGTCTTACATGCGACGCTATTCAAAGGTGAAGAGACGGTGCAGGCGCAGATCAACACTTTGGCCACCTTGGTAGACCGAGAGCAGAAGATGGCGGATGCAGTCACTGTCACCACCGTCAAGAATCTTGACGCGAACGTAAACGTTGTTATAGCAGACGTAAAAACCGTCGGTGCTGGGGTTAGCCTCATGAACGAGAACCTGGCAAAGACCCTCGCTGGAACAGCAGAGGAGAAGATGAAGCAGGAGATACGGAACAAGCTTGGAGTCGACGTATCCGTTGTGAGGGCGCTTCAATCACAGTATCGCACTCGCCGCGAGAGACTCAAAGGGGGCACTTGCGCCTGGTTGAAGGACAGCCTAGACTATACGTTATGGTCTGATCACCAGAAGACGTCAGAGCCGGTATTGATACTTTCCGGCAATGAAGGAAGCGGCAAGTCGTATGTCATGACCTCAGTCTTGCAAGCTCTTGAGAGGCGTTATCCGCAAGGTCGTGACGACTCTACGCGGATATCTGTAGCTCATTTTTCGTTCACTCGTAACGCCCCATCCAACCAAGATAGCCAAACAAGCGAATCACCCCCCAAAAATGCAAAAGCCGCGCCATCAGTCAAGGAAATGCTTCGCACATGGGCATGCCAGATCATGGAGAACGATACGTTCTATAGGAAGGATGTGCACAAAGTGTTGAACGACAACCCGGATTTCGACCCACTGGATCATTTGGTGCAGAAACTCTTCCTGGATCGGCTGCCAAATGGTGCAGTGTTCTACCTCGTGTTGGATGAAACCCACGAGATGGACGAAGACGGTTGCTCCGAGATCTCAAGCCTCCTCCACATTCTATCGAAAACAAGCGCCGATCTGAACTCACTCAGAATTATGATGACTGCAAATCCTTCTCTACAGCGCAAGCTCGAAGCATGCGCCCCGTCTTCCACTGTAGTCATCCAACTCGAGGACCACAATCAGCTCGACATTCAGAAATATGTCGAATCCAAAGCTGGAATGCTCGCTTGCTTCCAGACGATGTCCAAGGAGGTTCAGGAACTCAAAACTTGGGTTGTTACGGAGCTTCCAAAAGCGGTGGATAAGAATTTCCGCCTCGCTGAGCGGAAGCTGGAAGAGATCAACAGCTGCCAGGATGTGGGAAGCGTGCGGCAAATCATTGAAGAGATTAAGAAGGAAGGCGCGAAATTATTCGACTCGATTGACAAGGAACTACGCCTTTGTAATACAAGGCTCAACACAAAGCAAGTGCGCAATGTCAATGCGCTCCTCCTCTGGGTCATCTATGCTACATGGGATCTTCAGGTTTATGAGCTTGAATCAATTCTATACGTCCAAGAGCAACACAAACCTTTCCAACCCTTGGCCAAAGAGCTCAAAGAACAGTATTCCACGTTTTTCAGCATCGAAGGATCGGATGATGATCGATATGCGACTGTAAAATTGAAGTCTAATGACTACGCTGAATACTTCAAGAGTGCATCGAAGCAGCGCAAGGTGACAGATCTATCGTTAGACCAACCGCTTTCAAAAGGCCAGATCCAAGTGGTACAGCACTTTGTCCAGAAACTGTGTGAGCAGGATCTGTATGATAAGCTTGGATTAGCAGAGTTTTTTGACCAAAAGCTATCGAAGAGCGACGTGAGCATTGCTTTAGATTGCGACAATGCACAAGCTAGAATTGTGCTGTGTTGTTTACAGTCCTTGGCTGGCGGGTTAGGCGACGAAGCAGAATCACTGCGAGCCTATACGAGAAACAACTTGACGGAACATCTGAAACAAGTCGATCTGGATAACGCGGATCCGTCGATCAAGGCTCAAATGGGCCCTCTGATTGTTAAGATCTTTACGAATGAACAAGCTGTCCAATCCAGCAACAAGTATTACTGGAGCTCCTGGGCGTACAATGACCCTGGTCTTAATGAGATCGCGCGTCTACTGAAGAGCTCTGCAGTCATCAAGGACGTTATCAGGGATGACAAAGTTGGCGCAACTTGGATTGCCAATGTTGTCCGTTCAGGAAATCCAGATGTTGAGCTTCTACGCTCCCAGTGCCAAGCTATGGCAAAAGCGTGGGAGAAGGCGGAAAGCCCTCGGGACATCAATGGCGCTTTCACGTGGTGGTTCGGATTCTACAATAAGGTGCGTTGCTCCAGCTCTGATTACTCACAGGTCGGCTGTTCCCTTGCCTAACAAGCATAGATCGAGCATATGGGGAACTCAGCGGACAGACTCAAAGAGCCCCCACAAAGCTTTGACAACATATTTCCGGATGTCATCAACCACATTTATGAGACAGAGATTTCGCCATTCCTCAACAGCACGGAAGCTATGAGTTCTAGAAGATTGCGGAGCTTGGGCTTCACGTTTCTCAAGTGCAAACATGTAGCAGAAGCTATCAGATGGCTGAAAAATGCGCTGACAGTAGATCCTGATGATCTGCTTGCTCATAACGCATTGGCAGATGCTTATGCGATTGATATTCGCGCCCAGTCTATCTTTCCTGACTGGAACAAAGCACTGTACCACAAGGAAATCGTCATTGAGCAACTGAAAGCTGAAAAGAGACTATACAGTGATACTGAGCCGAATGCTTCGCGAAAATCAGCCGACACAAAAAAAGCAGCTTGGCTACGAGAACTTGAGAGATACGAAGAATCCCGGACTATTTTGTATAATCTACTGGAAGAAAGCCCGGAGGATGACAAGGTTCGACTTGAACTTGTAAGGACCCTGTGCAATTGTAAAAAGTTCAACGAGGTTGTCGATCTTCTCCACACAATGAAGAAGGAGGTGGTCGAAACGACTAATATCAGTGCCACTTCGCGCTTCCTACGATTTCACGCTTTCGACAATACTTGTCACGCCTTGTTAGTTTCCGCTTTCCGTCAAGAAGACCGATTTGAAGATGTGCAAAACTACTATCGGCTGGCCATTAAGGATTGTGCTAGTGAAGACCGTACAGGGCAATGGCAAACCTATTGTCTCACCAATTATTTGGCATCTATCCTCTTCAAGTTTGGCGAAGGTACGAAGGACCGTGAAGAGGCGATAACCTTGTGGGAAAAGGTGATCAAGGAACGTAAAGACAGCATGGGGCAAAGCATCATACAGTTATGCGAGGCTTACCTTGCTCAAGCTCTCAAAGCCGGGCCGGGGTCTCTTATCGCTGATGCAATGCTGGCAAAGATCGAAGCTTTCCTATCGACTACGGGTAATGAAAACGAGGAAAATGATGTATCACAGTCGTCTGTGCGCGCATTGCTGGCCCGATACTACCGAGCTATCGACGATACAATGAAAACTCAAGAAACTCTTCGACCCGACATGGAGCTTGCGTTGAAGTTACTCTTCGACAATGATGATGAGAATGATTGGCAGGGGTACCGAAAACTTGCAGATGCACTCATGGATTTCGGCGCATTTGAAGAGTCGCAAGCAGCTTGGTCTTTGATTCAGCCAACGCAGGGCATCTCGCACCTACTGCAGTGTTCATCGCCAACTGAGCCGGTCACCCAATTTGCGTCATTATTAGCGATTGGGACAACCGGTGACAGTACTAATGCGCCGTCCACGCCATTGGAAAATGAAACTGCTTTGCCTGCTCGTCCCACGCTCAATCGGGCCAATACCACAATGTCGCCCATGGGTCCGTTGCACTATCATTGTGATGGTCTTTGCGGAACATATTGGACATATTCCGATGACTTTTATATTTGCTGCGAGTGCATTGACGTTCAATTCAACGAAGACTGTCTTAGGAAGCTTCAAGCCGGTCAGCTCGAGCATGAAGTATGCGATCCGGGACACAAATTTCTTCACGTACCACCTTGGACTATTGCCAACGCAGAGCTGGCTCGGGACGGAAAGGTTCTTGTTGGAGAGTCAGTGAAAGATATCAAGCTCTGGTTGGGGGAGATAAAGCAAGCATGGAATCTGGACTTTATCGATGCTACGGCATAATCGCGCGTACAGCGAGCATCTGGGCTAGTTTCCGGCTATGAAGGAAGCGCTCAGATACAAGTCAATGCTCACATCAGTATACACGATAAGACAAGCTCCTGGTATCGTGAATATTTCCCTAGAACCTCCTGCCGCTCCAAACCTCGGGTTGATGCGCCTGCGCGCTACTTCTGCCGTTCTGCCCGGCAGTCTCATACGTGACCTGCACACTCCTCTCATACAAAATAGCCTCCTCGCTATCGGTGTCTTTTCCCAAGCTCTTGGCATGCGCTGCTGCATTTGCACCACCCTTATCCAGATCATCAAAGGACGTGAGCGCGATGGGCTTGTCATCGTTATTCGTATTCATGAAACTGTCGAGAGTGCGCTTCGCACCGCCGCTGCCGAATGTATGCTGTCTAGCGTTGTTTGAAAAGCCACGCGAACGCGACTTGCTGTTGCCGGTGGATGACGTTTCGCCGATGAGGCGCGGTGCAAAGTGCTTGAAGAATCGGCGGAGGGTCGAGAGGCAGCAGCACATGATGAGCAGGTTTGCTTCGATGAAACTGTTCAGAAATGTCAGCCCGGAAAGCAATCATGCGCGGATGGATTGAGAGCTTACATCCACAGACATCCCTCTCCAATAACCCATGTCTGATCGGCCGTTGTGAGTGAGGGCAGCAGTATGATCAGGCGAACAATTGACGTAACGATGGTGCTGCCTCTGTCAGTATGAATAGTTTGATGAGAATAGGTGAAAACGCACATTGATCCGACAGCAAAGATGCCCACCAACCCGAACTTTTGTTTCGTGGGCATCTGGAGCTTCAAAACAGTTGGTATGGGCAGTGCGAGTAGCAAGACGTCGGTGACTATGCCAATCACTGCTTGTGCAATGTAGATGCCACCACGATTGATGCACACCGCAATCGGCAAGAGCAACGGATCCCAGCTTGCGGCTATGGGTTTGCATGCAAACAACAAGCTGAAGAAGATTGAAATATAAGCACTGAGGGTCACCGCAAGCGTCGACCACACGAAAGCTTGAAAGATTTTGTTCGGGTTGAGGCGGGAATAGAAGAGCGCAAGTGAGCATTTGGCTGCCGCTGTACCCATTGCATACAGCAGTGGCGCCGCGAGGATGATCTAGACGTCGCGTCAGTTTTCTATCATCGCTGTGATACTACAGTACCATGTATCTTACACGTGAGTAGTAGCCGTATTTTTCAATGCTAATCTCCCAAGCGTGCCTTCCGACAGCTCCGTGGGCGATTCCAAGGAGCAGACATATCTGCGTAGCCATACATAGAACCCACGCCACGATGACAACAGCTATAAGACATAGTCAGCGAAACAATTCGAACACCATTTCAGGCACAACTCACCGTCTTCTAGTTGGAACTTCTTCATTATGACGATCTTCGTGTACAGTCGCTGAAGCAGGAAGATGAAAGCCAAAGTCATCTCCACTGCCACAACTGTGTACGATTGGGCAATGTACTGCGTCTGCGGATTGGCAAAGTCGACGACATAACCTGCTGGAGCCGGTATGATCGTTTTGACATCAGTGGAAGACATTCTCAATAATGCGGCAGATTGAAGCCACGACTCGAAGAAAGATGGCCGATTGATTCACTTCTAGATTTCTGCAATAGTGGGACTCCGAGTCAAATAAGGACTGCTGCAGGAGCCGTTGATGAAGAAGAGCGTGCCGATCTTGCCTTTGATGTCACAAGTTGCGACTCCATGAACACCTTGATCAGCGGTGCAACCCGTTCGTGGCTCTTGCACCAAGCTCACATGTTTTGCCCCCTACCTCGTGGAACTTGCAGCTCGGCAGGACAACCGAACGGAATATTGCTCAAGTTTCATGGAGTGCTTGACAAGCATCATGCTGGCTCGCACCTCCCATCAAAGCGTACAGGGCATGAGCATGTCGATCTCCACCCGCTAACAGAAGCACGATCGCTATAGGAGATGCGTCTACGATTTGTCGAATATCGTTCATGATTGGTGAGATCTGTAGAAGGATGCGAACCAACCGACGCAGGTCCAGTCGTTTCAGTAAGAAGTTTTGTGGGTTCAAGGGCAAGGGGTGTGGGACCGATTGGTTTGACAATCTCTTCTGGGGTCCAGGGATCGCATCGGAGTGCTCTTCCGTGCTCTCTTCATAGACGGCCCTTGCACTCCCTAAGAGTGTCAAGAGTATTGGCAGGCTAAGCATATTTTACGTCGTTGGTGGCGTGCTTGAAAGTGATGACTACATATGCCGACACTCTCAATAATCCTTCGCTTCGCTGCTAGCTATGGCTTCGTACCATCTTAGGTCGTGGCTCTGAGAAACATAAAGTATTGCCATTCAGAGCGAGAGGGTGGTATCAGCATTGTACTAATCATGCCCATTGTTACCTTTCTTTTGGAGCCCGTTATACCTGCCTGGGTTTTGGAATGACGTTCAGGGGCATGACAAGACGAAATCAGGGCAGCGGATTACATGCCAGTAAATATAGCAAGGGTCGTGACGTTCCTCCACCCAACGTGGGCGCCGTTAAGATTTCCAAGTCTGGTCAACTCCGGGTGATGGCCGCCGTTTGAGAAGTAACGGGCAATAGATACCGAGCCGCTGCACGGCACAGCGTTAACCTCACGTCGTAATCCGGACAAATGAGAAGCATTGCTGGTGTCGGATGCTAGTAGCCGGCGACCGCACCGTTCGATGCCGTTGTCATCGGGGTAAGGATCCCCCTTCCAGACCGGTGGATCGGGCTGTTGCCAAGCTGCCCCAACTCTTCGTCCCGACGAGACGGGTCGTTCAATATAGGCCCGATCCCATCTTTTCACTACCGGGACGACCAAGTAGCAATTTTGTTGTTGATGTGTGGGTCATGTCCCCCCTTGGCGAGCGGGTTCTGCACACGCGAGGATGCGGCGCAGCCATCTCTGGGCCGCGGGCAGCATGGTTCGAAAAATGTTCGTACCACAATGCCGCGAGGTATTGAATCTCTCCTCCATACCAGAAGATACGTCAACAGCAGATAGAGCACTCATAGTCTCATACCCACCGTCTATTTAAATCATATTGGTTGTGGATGATAGTATGTCGGAGAAAAGCGGGTGGCTGTTTTGTGCAAGGGTCCCCGCCGGCGGGCCACGGTATCCACTGGATTCAACGCACTATACCCCAGGCCGGGTATACGCGCGACTTAACGTGCGAAGATGCTAGAAGGCGTACCTACAGTAGAATCAGTCCCTGCAGGATGCCAGGGGAGCACCGAGTCATATGTGAGGGGTACCGTTACCATCCTTCAGGCAAGACATCCTCGACCCCCACCCAGCATCGCTTCCGGAGAGACAAGAGTCGATCTCAAGGTCGAGTCTGCAAGTGCAAATTTGCCCCTGCTGCGTACGACTCGTCGACTTGATGCATCGTGTCTAGTGTCGGACGTAGCCCAGGAAAGGATGCAGGTGGCGGTGTGTTGATTCCAGTATGTGGTTGCGCTCTCAGATAAATCTGGGTCACGCCGTGGTCGTTGCGTAACTCTTTCATCGTACCATTTTCTGGTCCAGTCGCAACCCTCCTAACACGACTTCGACCATGTTGGGAGCCATTATCGCCGTGCTCCTGGGTCTTCCCGTGGCTTGGGCACAGAACAGCACTTGCGTATGACCTGTCTACCTCTGATCTTTCGATTCTTCTAACGCGATGTGCAGTGTCAAGCTCTCCAAGATGCTGGTCTTGCCCATGTCTTGTATCCCAACTCGACAGACTACGCAAATCGTACTGTGTCGTACTGGTCTGTCAGTGCGCAACTGGAGCCGAGTTGCATTGTCCAGCCAACATGTACCTCTGATGTGGTCAAAGTGGTAGATACGCTGGTAAAGGGCGAGAGCTGCTCTTCGACAAAGTTTGCCGTGCGCTCAGGTGGACACACTGTATGGGCGGGATCGAACAACATCAACAATGGTGTCACAGTCGATCTTGGCTTGATGAAGACTGTCACCCTGGATAAAGAGGCTTCAGTCGCCTCGATACAGCCTGGTGCAAGGTGGATGCATGTGTATGGCGCTCTTGATCCCGAAGGCTTTACTGTTCCTGGTGGAAGAGCTGGAAGTGTTGGTGTCGCAGGCTTTTTGACTGGCGGAGGCAATTCTTTCTTTACTGCCCGCAAAGGTTTTGCTTGCGACAACGTAAAGAACTTCGAGCTCGTAACTGCGAGCGGGTGAGTCGATCCTCTGAAACAGATCGAAGCATGAGGACTAACTTGATGGCAGCGAGGTCATAAACGCAAACGAGAAGGAAAACCCTGATCTTTGGACGGCACTGAAAGGTGGTTCCGCCGCAAACTTTGGCATTGTGACGCGTTTCGACATGTTCGCTTTCCAGACCGGCAACCTCTGGGGCGGCACAGCAACCTACAACAAGTCGGCCACAGCTCAGCAGATCGATGCGTACGTGAAGTGGACCGACAACGTGGAAAACTACCCTGATGGCAGCTCGATCATCTTCTGGAGTTACTTGCCCGTAATGGCCGACATCGTCATCCTCGCTGCCTACGAGGATACCCAAGGCAACGAAGCGCCCGCTGGGTTTGACAACTTCATGGCCATTCCCCGCATTGGCGACACCCTGCGAGTCGACAGCCACAAAGCGCTGACAGACGAGCTCGAGCAAGCCACTGGCTATCGGTTAGTTTCTTCCTCGTCTACCATATTCCCATACTGACGTTATACAGCGACATCTGGTTCACCATGACCTTTGCCAACGACGCCGAAATTTTCACCAAGATTGTCGAGCTCAATGAGGAGTTCGTCAACGAGTGGAAAGCGAACAACGACCCGGACTTCATTACTCAATGCATGTTCCAGGCAATTCCCACGATCTTCTCCAAGCACAGTGTTGAACGAGGCGGCAATGTCATGGGACTTGACAAGGAAGACAGGAACGGCATCATGCTGCTTTTCGACATCGCCGTCAAGACTGCTGATCAAGAAGCCGTCGCACGTCCGCTTCTGCGCTCCTACGCCGAGAAGATGCAAGACTTTGCGCGCAGCAAGGACGGTCTTCTCAATTGGCAGTTCATGAACTACGCCGACGCGTACCAAGACCCGTTGGCGAGCTATGGCACAGAAAACGTGGAGAAGATTCGGGCTGCGGCGCGCAAGTTCGACCCCAAGGGTATTTTCCAGACAAAGGCTCCAGGAGGATTCAAGATCTCCAAGGCAGGTTCCGCGACTGGTGGCGGCAGTGGTGGAGTGGAGACGAGAGCGCTCTTCGGCAATGTCGAAGCAGAGCTTAGCGCTATTGCAAACATGAGCGATTCGTAGTTTCAAACCATGCTGTCGCAGAGATGATGTATTCCTCTTGGCGAATTCTATCGCAATATCATGAATTTAGTGTTTAGACACTCCAATCAATGACTTCTAGAGCGACCCATGGGGCGCAGTGCACAAGTTTGGGGGGCTGTAATAATTACTCACCAACCCACAATAGATTGACAGCGAAGTGGACTAGCTAGCACTAGTCTTGTTCATCCGATGCGAGGCGATAATCATGGGTGATTCAGGGTCCGCGGGGGAGGGAGCCAACCCGCATAGATCTCGGCTGAGGTTGCCGCGGAGGCAATACCCACAACGCCGATGAAGCCTCCGGCGGTTATCAAGCGCGCAATCTTTGTGTCTCAGTGAGTCTCTCTGGCCGAAAGGACTGTTCTGAAGTACAAGTGTGTAACCGTGGCGCAGAAGGCGGCAGTCAATCTTCGGCTCGATGCCCAGCTCAATGGGCTTTTTGCTCGCCGATCATTTCCCTTGCTGATTCGGTAGTTGGTCCGCTTTGCCTCTGGATCTCAAATATGCGTAGACGGCTTGTGGTTGATGATAACGATGGAAAATGGAACATGCAGGAACAATGCTCGGAGCGGAAGGTCTACCTGTGGCGCTCCCGGGCAACGGCCTTCCGAACTCTAGCGCGCAGCCAACGAACTTTGCACCTCCCGCCTAGTCGCAATACATACCAGTATGTTGCCCAGCCTGTGCAGTCGACGAAATTTTGTGAGACGGCGCGGTAATGGTCTGAACATCGAGGCCGCGCTCCAAGGACTGCTCGTAACAAGCGTGCCCATGGTGCGCGCTCACCTTCACAAGGCCAAGCTTTGTCAAGAGACGGCTCGTTAGCATGAGGACTAAGGAATGGGCCGTGTGGAAGTAATATGTTTTCTAGACGTCGTTTCTGTTCTGATCACTGCTCGACGATGACCGTGGTGACATACTCATCATGCGTAGACTCATTGTTTTCCTCTCCTCACTCTCGACAGTATCGCCATTCCCTTGGGTACCTGCTCAACAAGGGATCGACCCTGAGCCATTGAGACTCCATCGCCATGACAGAAGACAGGCTCACTGCCCTTTCAACGCCAATCACGAACCAGCCGCTCCGTACAACGCCAGCTTCCCCTACACCGGCGCGCGGAACGGTTTGCCAGGAACTCGGGAAAGGCGGTATCAGGGTGCCTGCACATGGAGATACGGCACATGCTTTCAAGGCACCGACATCCAAGGACATCCGCGGACCATGTCCAGGCCTCAATGCGGCAGCAAACGTGAGAATTCCTGCCAAAATCGTCGCCACTCAGCTAACAGTATCAGCACAATTTCATAGCACGCGATGGCATCACGACGTTCAACGAGCTCATGGATGCCCAGCAGAATCTGTGGAATGTGAACTACGACCTCGCCCTCATCCTTGCTGTGATCGGAGTCGTCCAAGATGGGGACATAATCACAGGAAAGCTGAGCATCGCCTGCGACGCAACGTCCCGCACAGCAGCTCTCGGTGGTCTCAACCTTCTTGGACGGCAGCCTGGCTTGAACAGTCACAGCAGATTCGAGGCAGATGCGTCGCTTACACGGAACGATTACTTCACCCACGGCGGCGATAACTACTCCTTTAATGGCACACTGTTCGCCCGGATGAAGGAAGTCGCCGACCGCGTTTCGGGCGGGAACTTTGACCAGAAGGCCATGGCTGCGTACAGAAGCCAGCGCTACGACGAGTCTCTTGCTGAGAATGGCAACTTTTTCTGGGGACCTTTGGCTATATTGCTTTACGGAGCGTCTTCCTTTGTGTACGAGCTCTTCGCGCCATACGGTGGCCAGGCGGACCTCGCTTCCGTCTCATCGTTCTTCGGCACAACGCAAGACTCAAACGGAGAATGGCAACATACAGCCGAGCGCATTCCAGATGGCTGGCACAACCGGAGATATCCATATACAACGGCATCTGGTGTGGAGCAGATTCTAGCCCAGCTCCTTGCTTATCCCAAACCGTTCGGTGGTAATATCGGACCGAACAACTTCAACGCTCTAAACTTTGGTGTCATACGGGATGGCAAGTTACCCGATAGCGCAACGGCTGGAGACATCCTTTGTTTATTGTATCAGCTGGCTACGTCTCAGGTTCCGAATACCCTGACGGGTGTTCTCGCTCTGCCGATAAACTTGGTGAAGTGGTCCGCCAGCAAGCTAAATCCCGTGTTTGATAATGCAGGTTGTGCTCTTGCTCCTCTCTAGCGTATATGCCCCTCCGAACACTTTTCTTGAGGCTCTTAGATCAAGTCGCTTCACGCGAGCTTCTAGCTGAGCAATCGTGTCTCGTCAATTTAGATTCCTTAGCGTTTTTGTCAACCCCGGCACGATGTGTACTTCTCTTGTATATGTTGCCTATGCACGTGTTTTCGCATGTCTCGAGCAGCTTACGATAATCGCCGTCCCATACATTGATCATGTTCAACATCTTATTCCCAATCTGGAAAACAATTCAGGTCATCATCCAACACCCATTCGCTCCCATTCGCTGCATCGCGCATAGAGAATACAAAACAAAATAGAAAATCACATGCCGGCTTACCCACGTAACTGGGCAAATTGGATCATATTTTTGCACATCGATATCTACTCCAAAGCACATTTCATAAATTCGTACTCCATTCATACCACTCTTCTTCGTGTTTCTTCAGAACTAAAGCTTCACAACTACTCAAGAAAGATTTGGAAACTTTTGCGCACCAGCCAGCCCCAAAGCGGTCTCAGAGCCCGTCTTCACAACACCAAACGTGCTCTCATCTGTCCAAAACTCAAAGTCGTTCGCGCCCTTACCCGGCTTGTTGATCTGCCAGATCATCCACGGCACCTTCAGGTTATTGAAGACGTCAATGTGCTGGCCAACAACATTCGCCTTGTCGGCACCCGAAGCACCAAACTCTTCGAATAGGACGAGTTTGTTGGCGTCCTGGGCGCGCTCGAGTGCGATGGGCGCTTTGTTGCGGAATTCAGAGACGCCGCTGTAGGAGTGGATGTCGACGAGGTCGAGGGTTGGGCATGCCCAGTTTTCGGGGATGTCGGAGTTGGGGAATTCGTTGCCGCCGCCTGAGTTTGGAGTTAGCTTGATTGCGCATGCTGAAGGAAGTGCGAAGCGTCACTTACCAGTTGAGATCAAGATTGCGCTGTTTCCCATAATGCTGCGCATCTTCTTGCTGCGGTCGCACCACCAAGCCGGAGCTGGCGCAATATTGTTGCGCAAATGACCCTGTCCTTCGTTTTGGATGTTGAAGGAGAATATGTGCTCCGATAAATCTTTCCATTGCGGCGCACCTGGAAGAAGCGTGTTCTTGTGCTCAAGGATGTGGGTAAGGCGGTTATCAAAGTCGGAAATTGGTGATGGGTCCTGGTAGAAGAACGTCACATCGTTCTGCGCAGCGGGCTTTACTGCACAATCCAGAGCTGGAAGCTTGTACTTTGAGACATATGTATCTATTCAATGGTGTTAGCAGAGTCGTGGAAATGAATATGAATCGTCTAACCATTCCCCCAGCAGCCCAACTGGTAGCGATCATGCATCGCGATGATCAATTTGATGCCTATTCAAGTCAGTCATATACTCGATCCATCTATTTACGAGTCGACTTGTACCTCTTTCACGAGATTCTATCATCAGCTGATCAATGGCCCTCAACTGCGTGTCATCGTACGTGCCAACTTGGTTAGGCTCGATGTCTGGCATATTGACGGAACCCGTAGCCTTGTTGTTCGCTGGCGTAAAAGAGATGAACAACCGTAGTGTTTTGAGTTTCGCATCTTTGATAGCATCGAGGACAGCGATGCGGTCGGCGCTGGTACTGGTGAGCCGACATTCGGTGAAACGAATCAAGCTGTACTTACGTCTGGTAAGCGTGAAGGAAATAGGAGTTGACGCCAGCCCAGCTTGTTGAGATTTCTCGTTGTTTGGGCGAAGCATGCGGCCTCGGAGGTCCTGGTGGATGCGCCGCAACGAAAGGCGCAGTGACTGCTAGCGGAAGGAACACTTTGAAGAGCTGCATGTTGATGAAGAGGGTAGGAGCGATGATGCTGTGATAGTTCTCAGTAGGCGGGATATCAGCTAGCCTTATACGCATCAGCCTCGCCTGCTCCTGGAGTTGTTATTTGCTTTTCTCCACATAGTCTACTATTCTAGTATGACAGGACTTCAGTGTCGTGAGTAGCAGTTCGGTACACTTTCGGTACACCATGATGAAAGCAGCTCTACTGTAGACGGGGCAGTGCCATCCGGACCGAAAATGTTCAAATCCAAGGTAGTCATGTCTTGCCTAGAAAGTTGTTTTGACGGAGCCTGGTGAACCGCATCAGACCAGGTTTAGTGTTCGCCCCCATCCATGACGATCATACACAGACCATCCCGTATTGCGGATCGCGCCGCGCTAGGGAATGTCACCCCGCGAGGCTCTTCCCTTCAATTTTGTTCCTAACAGCGATAGCCCATGACGGAGATTCAAGTGTTGCCGGGACATCGATGCTACAATTGCAAGGCAGAAAGCGAAAAAGTTCGTGTGGTTGCCTCACTAAAAAGTCAAATCGCAATTAGCTTCGTGTCGTTGAGCCATTGCATGCTGTTATCATATTTCGACTGATTTCGCGAGCGTGCTGCTACACCTGGGTCACGAGCTTCGAGCGCTCTATGCCCTCGGAAACTACGCACGAAGTCTTGGACCGGAGTCACCGACGCGCTAGTATGGCGGCCTAAATCAAGAGGTCGGGCAAAAATTGATTTTGAGAAAATCAATCTAACATCAAGCTCCTGCACGCCCATAGTACAGCACCACCACTACAATGCTATAGTAATTAGGATGCTGGCTACTAAGTAAAATATATACAGTAAGCATTATAAGAAAACTAGAATTTAAAAATAGGTGCTGTGCAGTAGTGCAGAGGGGGTGCAAGTAGAGCGCAGATGAACTTTGTGATTATCAGCGATTTTGCTGACGTTGGTTCCGAACGTTCCGAGCAAAATCAGGCAAAATTGCTAGTACCTCGGAACGATCGGAATAATCAGGAAATTTCGGAACGCGTACGAACATCAAAACTTTGCAAAATAGCTATTTGCACGCATTTTTGACCCTATGCAGCAATAGCTATAGTACACTTCTTAAAATTCTATTTGGTGCAAAATAACTGCTGTACCTATTTTACTTAGTAGCTAGCATCTTATATAGTATAGCAGCGTAGTAGTGGTGCTGCAAATACTAGTTAGGTGCCTCTTGATGTTCGTTCTCAAAATCAATTTTTGCCCGACCTCTTGATTTAGGCCGCCATACGCTAGCCTGTGGGGGCGGAACGGGTACTAATTGCACGGTCAGTGCGGAGTCCGGAGAGAAACACGTGTGACAAGATGGATAAGGACTGATCCATGATTATGAGGAACTAGTTCTGTTCTATGAAGGAGCGACATGCCCCTGAACCCGACCAAGAACGGCAGGAATATCCCATCCTCGCAACCGGCGATGCCGATTTAGCGGGCTGGTGGTGCCGAAGTGTTCTGGTTCGCCTCCTTGCGCTGCACCCAGCCGAACTGCGGGGAGCCATTGTTCATGTCGAATATCTGGTCAAGGTCAGCCGGCTCGTTTCATCAAGGAAGAGTGTGAAACAACTTACCGCGTACATAGCCTTGAGCACGGCGTCGCCGTAGATGTCCATGTCCATCGTACCTCGCGACTGTATACTTCCATACACCATGCCATTACCGGCATCTGCAAAGCCCAAATCCTCCTTCTGAAAGCTCACTTGCGCGTCGCCAATGGCAAGCGTAACGTCCGGTAGCTGGTCCACAGACGTGTTGGCGGGGAAGAGGTAGCCTTGGTTCTCGGAATCGTACTTTGATCCCGGAATAGCCTTGTAGACCGCCTCTACCAGAGAATCTTCGACCAGGCAAAGCGTGGTTCCAGTGTCCATAATGGAAGTGTTGTTGCTGCGGGTGATGGTCTGGCCATTGATGGTAGCGCTCGTCGACTGGATCTGCCAGAAACCCTGGCTGCTGTCGACTGTGGCGTAGTTGGGCTCAGTGGCGCCAGCTGCCTTCATGGCATTTTGATCGATGAAGCCAAAGGTGTAGAAGCTCTGCAATCATGTCAGTGGGCGACTTCTTTCAACACTCGATAGCGACAAGCCTACCTCGCCTTTGTCAGCTTCGTCGGTGTCGCGCCAACTACCGAGGTAAGCTGTGAAGAGTGGCTGCTTGACATCTTTCTGCGAGATCGCATTGTCGACTGGCGTCTTCTGTGGCTCGGGTGAGACAGTGTTGATGGAGCTGAACGCCAACCCGAGGAGACCGCTTCCGTTGCCCTAAAATCCTGGGTCAGTGTCGTCGCCTTCGTCCGAGAGTCAGATGCGAACCTCTGTAAACTGCTGAGATAGCTCCTTTGCAAGTTCGACGGCTTGGTTCTCGATCTTGAGACCACCGAGGTCAATCACGTCGGTGCCCACGTCACCACTGGCAGATGATCCATCGCCATATGAGATCTTCCAAGTCGCACCACTCAGCTTCTTGAAAGTGCTAGACTTGGTCGCATCGAATGCAACTTGTTGTTCCTGCGCATTGGCTTTGCTAAGAATGCTTTGTGGTAGTTCCGTTGACCAGACCTTTTGCTGTCAGCGTAGTTTCAGCTTGCATGCCAATGCCAAACATACCCAAAGATCCGAGGAGCCCGTGTCAAAGTCAAGGTACAGGGTCTGCGCAGGCGTTCCCGATTTTGACCGGGCAAAGATACAGCGAGTCGTTCTGGATGTCTTCGGCCGTCACCTCATCCGCATTGCCAGGATCAGACGATGGCGGCTCGTCTCCGCCAGTCGACGGCGGGGAAGGGTCCGAGGGTTTGGGTTCTGCATTCAAGTCAGTAAAGCATACAACGATGCCTGCAGGCGCGTACGTTGTGGTGCGTCGTGATGGTGGTGACGCTTCTTCAAAACATGCTTCGTCCTCATGCGTCCACCAATGGCGCTGCCGAATTTCCCTTGCGCCTGGAATTGTTTGGCGTAAAAGTAAGGACCAGGTTTGGTGGAGTCGAAGCCATCTGACATGATGTGAGCATATACAATTCAACGCAGCATTAGGTCTGCCAGTGTTACTCACACTTGCTCATGGCGAATACGTATGACTTCGTTCCATTGTGGGTGTATTTCGGGTTGCGCTGGATAGCGACACGTTCGTAAGAAGGCATGGTAGTGGTTGAGAGTTCCTTGTTATTGTGTAAAAGTGAAATAGAACTTGTGTACTTTGGCGAGATGCTGTATTAGAAAGCAAGTTAGGTTTGTGAGAGAGGAGCAGTGTGGACAAGTCCCTTTAAGATTGCAAGAGTAACGGACGACTTGAAGCACTTATATGTAGACGGCAGGTGCGTTGCGACCGTATCTGCTGCATGTGCCATGTTGCGTCACGCTTCTGGTCGACTAGGCACACCTCTCTGCCAGCGCCTCATTATCATGCGCCCAAGGTACAGAATCAGGGTAATATCCACGCCGTACGTCAATCGCAGCAGGATCAGGGACAAGGTTACCAAGCTTCACCAAGCATTTCGATCGACGGCCCAATGCGTGGGAACGGCTGCGACACGCCTTGGCCTCCTTGAAACACCCATAGGCCTGTGGGGATAATCACAAGTGCAGGTGGGCGGTTACAAGCTGTCTTGATTGCAGAGATGACGTATGGAGACGCGCAAAGCTTGCTTGCGACTGCCTCTTTGAGATCCGAGGCGACAAGATCGCTAGCAAATCTGCGTGGTGAACATCAAATGGGGCCGAGGTCACGGCAGTGGTGCGGCTGCATCCGAAGCATCGGGTCAAAGGGAGTACCACCGCGTGTGTGTATTGGTCTGCTGTCTCATGTCTTATCGGCGTGGCGTCAAAAGTTGCGCATGATATGTGGATGAGGAGAGTGTGATGGTTGGCGGCTGACATTTTGTGTGATAGCCAACCACCGTATAGGCGCAGGTTGTTTGTTCTGAGTTCAGAGCTGTTCCACAAGATCACTTGGATCTACTGGGCATGTACACAATTTCTAACAAAAAGACGTATCGCTGAAGGCCGAAGTGCTGCAGCTGCTTGGCGCAGATTCAATCATGACATCATGTCTTAATTACGCGGGTACTGAATCTGCGGGCACACAAGCGAACATAACACCCTTCATCCCAAACCACGTATTCAACTCGACAAACCGAACACATCCTATTCATTCTTTCCTGAGCGCGGCGAATAAGACTGCATCGGATCAGCTTTCTTCAAATTCACAATCTTGGGTCTCCACTTACCGCCTGTTTTGGCGGTGCATCGATCCACGTCGCCATTTGATAATGGATCTGATCCGCAACAGTCAAACGAGTGTTATATCTCCCCTCGAACAGGAATGTGTTGGGAAACAGCGGGTTGAATGGAGCCGCACCGTGTATCTCATCGATCTCTTCGGATGATAGCTTGACGCCCATCGCAGCGGGCAAAAGTTTGACATGCTCAACAGTTTGCACGCCAACGATGGGGAAGACGTGAGTAGACTGGTGGAAGAGATATGCGAGTGCCTATCAGCGTCAATGATGTGATGCAGCACACCGTGCGGCGAAAAACTCACAATGTCTTGTAGCGTTGCATTCTTCGCTTTCGCCAATCGCTCCAGCACATGACATACTTTGATGTCGTCTTCCGACGCATTGTAGTAGCCTTTGCCTGCATTTGGGTCTTCCCCAAACTTCTTCCGCTGTTCTGCAGCCACGAGTTGACCGCCGCCGAGCGAAGCCCATGAGACAATGGCCATGCCTTGGTCTTCACACATTGGGATAATCTCAGATTCCATGTCGCGGAATGCAGCGTTCCATCTGCCTTGGTAGAGTGAGAAAGGAGTTAGGCCGTTCCGTCGAGCGACTAGGTGCGCGTTAGAAGAGTCACGGGATTCGACGAAACGTTCAGCATTGCCACTTACACTCGTTCGCTTTGACCACTACCCATGCTGGTGTGTCTGAGACGCCAATGTAGAGGACCTGCTTAGCCATCACTAATGCGTGGAGATGGCGCATTACCTCTTGCACAGAGCATGCGACATCCCACCTAGCACGATTAGCATCGCCTTTTCCTTTTGAACATTGCCACTGCATACCAGTGTACGTAAAGAATGTCGATGTAATCCGTTCGCAGCTTGCGCAGGCTGTCTCGCACCGATATGTGCATACTCTTTGCCGAAGGACCAGTAAAGTTGCTCTGCAGCGGCTCCTTCTCATGTTTATATGCGCGATAACCAGCACCAAACTTGGTGGCAACGACCATCTGATCTCGAACTCCGCGCTTTTCCATCCACTCCCCAATTAGCTTCTCGGACTCCTCCGAATTGTACGTATTGGCCGTGTCAATGAAGTTTCCACCGAGGTCGTAGTACGCATCAAGCAACGAAAACGGATCTTCGCTTTTTCCGAATAGCTTGCTCCATGAATTGCCGATGCTGATGCCACCAAGGACAATCGGCGATACTTTGACGTTAGCAGTGGGCGATAGCACGCGGTGCCATCCGAGTGCCGTTTTCGGCTTTGGAGGAGGGGCGAAGGGGTCCATTGCGGCGATCACCTCGGACGAGAGCAAGGAAAAGCTAGTGAACGGGAGTGTCTCAAGGAATTTTTCTCATGTTACTGAATGACAGGTATTTAAAGGGGAAGACTCCCGTTCCGCATGTCCAGACATATGCGGGGTCCACGGGCTGCAGATGCAGGTGGCTGACAGTCGATCATAACTCCGCATCCTGCAAACGTGCGGGTATGCTCGCTTGTAATGCTTCTCGAACCTCTTGACAAGATAATAATGGTTCGTTTCGCTTCCCACGCCAATGGTTTGTCGCTTCCAAGAAGTCTTCGCATCCGCTGAGCAGCCATCCCCATTTCGTCAGGAACTCCGGCGTAACTTCCCAATTCCGAGGGTCGGATGCATCGCCCCAAACGATGAGGAGAGGCTTACTGTTTACATCCTCATACTCTACAATCTCCCGACACATCTCGTCTTCGTCGCAAATATCAGGATGTTGGAAAGCTTGCAACATGTTGTCGCGCAACTTCGGCCACGGGAAGACATCTACCCATGGATGATGCTCGATCGAGCATTGCAGCTTTGTTGGAAGCAAGTTGGTTGGCCAATTTTGCATCTCGACGAAGGCGAGTTTGAAGTTTTGGCTGGAAAATGGTGATATGCCGTCCCATTCGAAATACTCGGCTTTGACGCCGAGTATATCGGCGTTGCGCTGGAGAGCGCTGGACACATTGTATTTGACGAGAAGAGCTAAGTGCGCTATTGAGGGTGTACCTTGCATATAACTCATGTATGCGTGTTGTGCAAAGTGTTGCATTATCTCTTGCACCTGTTGAGTAGCTGCCATGCATCCCGGCTTCGCGGGTGAGATTGCGCCATGCGAAGTACTCGAACTCAATGTGCCCGAATTCGACTCATCGGGCCCCGATCGTGTAGCCGGTGATTTCTTAGAAATCTTTGAAATTGAGCTGTTGTTTTGATTGACGGTCTCATTCGCACGCATCCCTAGAAGCGAGTTAGCACCGCAAATCCTTTGCATGCACATTCCCTGCAACACTGACGGCGGGCTCTCTGATTCAGACGATTCTGCAGCTTTCTTCGCTCCAAAGGACTGGTTTTCCCGGTCCAATCCTCCTTGCCATGGCGCAGATCTAGTCGCTGGGAGGTCCAATTTCAGTTCGATGTGCGTGGCGTGTTCAGACATGACAATCGGAGGCCAATTGGACAAATAACTCGCCTCGCACAGCAAGACAGCTATATGCACGCTGCTGACACGCGGCTTGAGAGGCTTTGCGACTCTCTAAGTCTTGAATAACTGACAGGCGATGTTAAGCAGCTTGGCTTTTGTTACGTCCGAATTCGTAGCACGTATCGGGTTAGCGGTGTCAGCAGGGTGCATTAACGCCGTGCTATATCTCCGTTAGCGTGGATCACCTTAGAGAAGGTTTCATCTACTTACTCATATGCACCGCTTTCACTCATCGTCCATCATAATCGGTAACATCCTATTCACGGGAGCGCAAAAGGCTGCCTTCTCAACATGTTCTTTACGCGCGAGTCTTCACTGGCTCTGCCTTCACGTTGGGCGGATGGTTCTTCGGTGGAGAGGTAGTCACTGCGGTTCGAGGGTTTTGCCGGAAGGGAGTACCGCCTGGACGTACACGTACATAATTATATGGCCTGCTATCACCGCATACACGATTTTGTTGGTGTGCGAACAATGATATCAGGCGCCAGACATCCGACTGCGCCGCAATAGACTGTTTGCCGCCTAGTCTTCCTTGCACGCCAAGAAACATCCAAGATAGGCGATCGTGACGAGGCAGAGAACCGTGCCGCAATAGCAAACGCAGCCTGCAATGCTGTTCAAATCAGAACATTCTGAGCTGCAACTTTGTAGCACTCCACTGCCGTCATCCCACAAGTCCACCTTGGCAGCATTCTTCGCCAATCATCACATCGTGCTCCGACATCCATGGACAAACTACCCCAGGAGCTGATCTGCCAGATTTGCAGCAATCTCTCTCCGAACGATCTGTGCAACGCCTACTATGTGTCGAGCATGTTCCGTGACGCAGCGGAGGACTACGCCAAAAAGTACAAACATGGTCGCGTCAAGTGCCCCGAGCACAAAGCCAACATGGCAAACACTTATCGCGGATTTCGCCATCGCTATATCGAACGCGTGAAATTTTGTGTTGCTCCTCCACCGCCGAGCAAAAGTAACGAGTATGGCTGCTGCCAAGTCAGTCGCGATGAACAGCACAAGAGAAACGAGATTTTCACCGCCCAAATCCGAGACTTGTTTGCGACGCTCAAGACAATGGAAGATACCGCAGGCGGGAGGAACGTTGGAAATTACGACCTCGTTATCTGCAGTGTAGAGCGTCCCGAAAGCTCCTGCTTACACAACGATCATTCTGCAAGGCGAACCTGCTTGTTGGACCCCAAGAAACTTCCTGACATCAAATCTGTCCGCTCTCTGAAGTTTAACGACAACAGAGTAGGCATCAAGTACGATTATAGGATCCTAATCGACCTCATCGCTCATCTACCAAACGCAAGTCATCTGGAGTGCCATATGGGAGTGGATGAATGGACGCCCTGTTTCACCGACGAGCCAGCGAATTGTTATACCTGGGACTATGATGGTCCCCGGAGAGATACCAGGCATGGCTTCGCTAATGCGCCATTGTCCTCCAGCAGTCTCCAGCGGCTCGAAAGTGTTAAGCTGGACTTCTTTTGCCAGAATGTCATGACACAAGCCGACTACATCCATCAATACATGTCATATCCAAATCTTGTCCGTCCTGCTTCACAGGATCCTTTCAGCACTAGTCTTCGCATTCTGTCTTATCATCTCCGCGAGCTTGATCTGCGGATCCAGGTAGACGAAAGCCTATTCTGGCCTACCGACGGATCGACGGCCACATGGCCATATCTTCAAAAGGTCCGCGTCATGTTCCACATGGTGACGCCATCTGGGACTTATTACTTTGAGGGGCCCCGAGGCGAAGGTAGAGAGTTAATGGGGCATGAGATTGGCTCTTCTGAAGAACACCCGGAGTATCCTTCCGACGACGAATGCGATGTGTGTTGTACTGTCCGCGAGCACAGCCGCTCATTCGGAGACTGGGTTTCTTTCCAGTTTCGCATATGCGCGAATGAAGGCGTTCTGGTGCCCTTTTTAGCAAGCTTTGCTAAGGCTGCGTTTCACATGCCAGCTTTGAAGCACGCTGTACTATACTCTTTGCTTTCGTGGGACGTGGATGGTGACGACGATTACGTCGACCAATTCCATTATTACGAGCCTCCCAAACGGTTTTTTCCCGACTCCATGGCCTGGGGCTTTGAATACTGTGCTCCTGGAATAATATCTATTTCAATGACCAACTCGGACATTGTAAATCTGAAAGAACGGCGGATTAGATGGAGGGTCGGAGAGTGGCGTCCTGATTCAGAAACTCATAGCCTCTTCCAGAGAATTGGCCTCCAGCAACATGGGCCGGCGCTAGAGGAACAGTGGACAGACGATGAATTTGGGTCGGGTTTTGTTACACGTGACTATTTTGAGAATGATTACGTTGACGAATGATTGCTTTGGGGATCGTAGCAGGGATTAAGATACATGCGCTGCCGGAACTTTGATCTTTCTTTTCTAAATAACTCCATATTTTCGCGCTGTATTAGAATGTCCATTTTCTTAGGTGTGAAGATAGCATTCGTGAAGAAGATCTCCACGCGCAACTTCAGAGTCAGATAAGGCTGCGGAACTCGGGCACCACGGCGACGGAGATAGCTGAGAGAGCTGAAAAAGATTTACGATGCCGTGATGCCGGACGTGTCGAATGTTGTGAGCATCTCGAACTTTCTTTCGACATGCTACGGACGCACTCATCGGTTGAACTGGCTCATTACCTACATCTGCAAGGTACAGCTCCTTTTTATGTAGGAAATGTATACTTCTCAGGAAACAAAGCTACATGTTTCCCGTCTCTATATCGACTCAAACTACGTAGGGTCATTCCTGATGAAGATACTGCGCGTCCGCCGGCGGGGCTAGATTTTCCATATATGCAGAAACAGGCTTGGGCATGAATTGACCTTTTGCAAACTCCAATATCGCCGAATAGTTGTTGCAACGGTGCGCGCGACTGAAGTCTGGCGACAAGCCACCCACCCGATCCCACGACCAAGGTACTAGGCCTATGTCGGCCCGACACATAATGACTTCGCGAATCATACGAAGGCAATGTGATGTATGTGCAAGCTCAAGTTCAGTATCTGCCATGTGTTTCCAGTTCTCCTTGTACCAGTCCCGATTCATGAAGAGTTTTCGTCTGAGTGCGTCCTAAGAAGGGAAAAGATTTAGCGGGATACGTATATGTTCCTTATAAGATGCGAAGACGTACCAGACAGTGGATCTGATGAATGCCCTCCATCATCACTGGGAATCCATCGTACTTTCCTTCTACGTTCCGCAGCACGACATTGTGGCGTGGATCAAGTGAGTACTGAGCGCCCTCTTCGATAGGAATGAGAAAAAATCCGTCTATTCTTTTGTTAAAATCCCGTCTTTAGTCTTCAACAACAAAACGCGCCTACTTTTCATGCCCATATCTTCCGCCCATAACTCATCGACTCGACCGTATTTGGGATGCTCGTTCCATTCGTCGGGGGTCCAGTTGAAAGCAGGGAACCATCTAGTCGAGAGGTTTCGATCGATCTGTAATAGAGGAGAGGTTGGGTCTACCGGCATATCATATGTAAATTGCTCGGAAACAGCGGGCGTTCGGACTGCCTCTTGACTGATCATAAGTGCCCATGTGATCCAACAAGAGATCAGGGCACCGAAGCTAAAGGTAAAGGCACAAAGCCCAATTACTTGGCACCGAATTCTTGGTGAATTGCGAACAACCAAAATTGAGCTTGTCTGACAGTCATCAATAAGCTGTGAATCTTCCTTCATGTCATCCTCGTACTGATTCATCGTGAGTTCGCAAAATGAGGAGCCGGCCGATCGGAGGAAAATGGGTAATAAGACAAGATCATGAATTTACCATAGTATGGAGCATGTTCGTGATCAGAAAACTTGGGGGTGGACGAGAAATGATCAGCAAGCGTTCTGTCGGCGATACCTCATCTATCGTCGGCCTCTTGGTACCGTATGATTTGGGTCCAAATGGGCCGAACGCTAGCAGGGGGCGGGGAGGTACACTAGCCAGAGGCACTTTACGGTTG